AAAAAATAAGTTTTGGTTGCATACTTTTTGAATCCTTCTTCACATGGCATTTTTATAGTACTATTTTGATAGAAGAGAAAGATAATTCAGTCTTTCCACCTGCAGGGTTGATCGAAATTTGTTTTTAGTCTGGACACGTAAAAATTGTGACCGCACACTGACATCCTCGCTGTTTGTAGCACTGCTTCAAGCACAGGAATTCTGATCAATATAATTTCACATGATTCCCATCAAAAAAGAGAAAGCAAGGCCTATGTTTAATTGCATGTACTGTATTATGGAGTTTGTTCCCCACAGAGAGTTCTGTTCGTCTAGGTATGGAGGGGAATCAAATCTGATGCCATATTTCATGATTTAAAGAATTTTCCACGACTAGTTTCTGGCTCCCTGCATTTCAAAATTTGCTTCTCAGGACTTCCCTGGTGGTCCAGTGGTTGAGGCTCTGCCTTCCAAAGCAGGGGACTCGGGTTCAATCCCTGGTCCGGGAACTAGGATCCCACATGCCTGCGGGGCAACTAACCTGTGCGCTGCAATTACTGAGCCCACGGGCCACAACTGGAGAGAAGCCTGTGCGCCACAAGGGAAGATCATGTGTGCCGCAACTAAGACCCGATGCAGCCCAAAATAAATAAACGTTAAAAAAGACAAAAATAAAAACTTGCTTCTCCTCCTTCCCCACCTACCGCTGCTGCCAAACCTCTCAGGACGTGGTCACTGCTTACGTTCACGTCACATGTTTGTAAGCATGCTACATGTTCACGGTCATGAGACATGGTCATAGCACATGTCCGTGACGTTCATACTGCAGTCTCCCCTCTGGTCACCACCTTCACATCCGTGTGCCTGGCGGGTCGGCTCGGTGGGAAGCAGGAGTGTCCCCAGAGGCCGTGCCCACGGCAGACAGCTCTCAGTAGCTCGGCCACACAGGAAGTCGGTGTGAACCCATAGACATGTCTGTAAACCCAGACAAAGTGTGCCCCGACAGCCACTCCAAGCCGGCCAGGAGTGGAAAGTGATGGAGGACCCTGCAGTGGAAAGAGGCTGTGGTTTGGTTTTGTTTTTTTGGCACGTGGGATCTTACTTCCCTGATCAGGGATCGAACCCGTGCCCCCTGCAGTGTGAGTGCAGAGCCCTAACCACTGGACCTCCAGGGAAGTCCCAAGAGACTGTGGTCTTAAGTGATTGTGGTCAAATACCCTCCTTTTGCAAGTCTGACGCCACCTGACTGTGTGAAGCCTTGGCCGGCCCCTCCACTACTCCCGGGAGGGGCCTGAGGCTTGTCCCCTTAGCCACGGGGGAGCCGCCCCTGGGCTGGGGTCAGCGTCCAGCTTGCACACGTGCCATGATGATGGCTGAGTGCATCTTCACACAAAAGCCTCAGCACTTCCCATTAAGCTCATTTAAATATAACACATACATTCGTACAGGCAGGAGTGAGTGAGAGCAGGCAAGATTGCCCCATGTCAAAAAGAAAAATAAAAGAGTGTGGATTTATAGTAACCAGTTACCTTTTGGCAAAAATCAGTGACTGTTTTCCCAAGTCTGGAGAACACGTGAAACATTCAGTTTTCTCCGGTATCTGCTTCTTTTACTTGAGGATGTTACCTTGATCTGTCAGAAGTGAGGACTTCTCCCCGCCTCCTTGAAATCATGAAAACTGTGCAGCTGAACCCCAGTTAGGGAGAGCACTCACCACACACTTCCTTGTGGGAAACGTGCAGCAGGTGCCCCTGCATCCCGCAAATACTGAGTATCCCAGCTCCGTGACGCACACACGGCTAGGTGGGATCTCCGACCTGCCAAAGGTTATCGCCTGGATGAAGCCGGGAGTCGTACCCTCGAGCCAGGGGAGGGGGTCTGACTTTGAGTCTGCTCTGCTGTCTGAGGACCCTCGTCCTTCTTACCTAATTGGAGGTGGAAGGGGCACAGCTACATGGGACCACTGCTTTCAAGCCCACCTCCCCCCCCGCCAAATAACCAACGTCGTGACACAGCCCAAAATGTCTGTGTCTAATGCTACATTTTGTTCATAACAGAAACACACATATAAGCCCAGGGAAGATGGGAGCCCCACTGCGCGGTCCTAGGGCCTTGATTAGTGGGGCGTCCTCTGACATTGTGAGTTGCTTCTTTGAGGGGTGCCCCAGAGATTTCTTTTTTTTTAAACATCTCTGGGATGATGTATCCGAGCAGTCTCCCAGATGAGTGAGAAGCCAGCCTTTCTTCTGTGGGGGGAACAGGGTGCTGGTGAAAGGGGAGATGGACAGGGCAGGCACCCACCACAGGCTTCTCCAGACATCAGGGCACAGGAAGACCCAGGGGAAGGTGAGGGGTGCAGACTCTGCTCTCCAAACCACCCACGCCCTGTGCCCCAAGCGGTCCCTGCTGCCCAGCGCATATTAAAATACCTTTCATTTATGCCGGGTTCCACACTTACAAATCAAGTCTTAACCTAAGTAATATTGGAAATGAAACAGTAAAACCGAATCAGCTCCTCGGCCACTGCGGGGCTGGGTGGTGGAGAACCTCAGCCGGGCGGTGGGTGACGACGGAAATGGGTGTCCCAGAAAGTGGGCTGCTCGGGACCTGGTTAAGCAAGGTCTACCCACACTCAAGGAGCGGACCTTCCACAAAACAGATCCTAGGGCAGCATGAACGATTAGGTCCATGTTAGAACTATGCCTGTGGCAGATGGAGACGTGGGTTGGAACGCAAATGCTCCACGTATGTTCCTTTTATCCATTTGGATTTTTGAAGTATGTGAATTTATCACTTACTCAAAAATAAAATTTTAAATCTTTGGAAAAAAATTTTTAAAGAAAGAAAGAAGCAACTCTTTTTACCAAATCAGGTTGAAGCTATTTCTTCTGTTGACCCCGCCGGCTGAATCCCCAGCTGAGCAGGGACGTAATGGGTGGAGCAAATCAGGGACGGAATATGGCCAGGCATAGCCATGCCCGTCTAACGTCTAAAACAGGTAACCCGGCAAACACATTAAAGGGGCAAACTTGGGCAGCCTGGAGAGAAGCTTCTTTGCGCTTTCTTAGGTGGTCGAGGCCAACCGACCACCTGCACCCCCTTGGCAAGAGCTGCCTCCAGGCTCTGAGGGCCACGGAGCGGCTTCCTGGACCACCACGTTCTGTCCTGGGATGCCAGCCCTGCCCCGGAGCGGGACCAGCCCTCGAGGGATGGAGTCCGACCTGTCGCCTGGGCTCCGCCAGCCCTTTTTTCTCTCTTTTAAGCACTGGTGTTAAAACCTTACAAAATCCAAACTACTCGGGGCCCAGGTTACAAGTATATCTTGATGTCTTTAGCTCATCAGAAGTCTTGCCAAGGTTTTTAAAGCGTGGGGCTTAAAATACATCGTCCTCTGCTCCGAGCCAGCTGGGGGAAGCCAAAGGAAAACACCGTCTCCCTCTGAGCATATGGCCAGCCGCTGCTGCCAGCATGGGAGAAATCAGGAAAGAAAGGATGCTGTGGCATGAAATGAAAATGTGGGTTTACTGCATGGAAATAGACAAAGCTTCATGCCACCAAATGCTGTTTGCAGAGCGAATTTTTAAGCTGAGATTTCTTTTTTTTTAATTTATTTATTTTTGTCTACACTGGGTCTTCGTTGCTCCACGTGGGCTTTCTCTAGTTGCGGCGAGCGGGGGCTACTCTTCGTTGCGGTGCACCGGCCTCTCATTGCGGTGGCTTCTCTTGTTGCGGAGCACGGGCTCTAGGCGTGTGGGCTCAGTAGTTGTGACTCACGGGCTTAGCTGCTCCGTGACATGTGGGATCTTCCTGGTTCAGGGCTCGAACCCGTGTCCCCTGCATTGGCACGCGGACTCTTAACCACTGCGCCACCAGGGAAGCCCTTCAGAGTGAATTGTTAAATGACAGAGTTAATGAGAAACAGAAAGGGGGAAAGGCATTGCTGAAACCTCACTTGGGTGCTGGCGACCTGACCGTCCTACCTGAGATGGCGACCGGGAAGGGAAGGAGATAGATCTGGATAGAGTTAACATGTGCACACTGCACAGCGAGGTTTGTGGGCAGGACGAGCTCCAGCCTGGGCCTCGTGGTCCTCCAAGCAGATCCTTTTCTTTCTTTTTTTTTTAAATTTATTTTATTGACGTATAATTGATTTACAATGTCGTGTTAATTTCTGCTGTACAGCAAAGTGACTCAGTTACATTTATATACACGTCCTTTTTCATATTCTTTTCCATGATGGTTTCTCCCAGGAGATTGGATATAGTTCCCTGTGCTCTACAGCAGGACCTTGTTGTTTATCCATTTGAAATGTAATAGTTAAGCAGGTCCTTCTCTGGCTCACGGCTTTCAGTTCCCACCTTCCCTGTTCTCACTGTGCCACCAGGTCCTTTAAAGCATCGTGATGGCATCGCCAGGTGTACTGCTGCAAACGAAGGTCACCTGCACGCAGGGCACAGCTTAAAGAGCTTGTGGTGCTTCAACCATATTTAAGGTTTATTTTTTTATTTTTATTTTTTTGCGGTACGCGGGCCTCTAACTGCTGTGGCCTCTTCCGTTGCGGAGCACAGGCTCCAGACGCGTAGGCTCAGCGGCCATGGCTCACGGGCACAGCCGCTCCGCGGCACGTGGGATCTTCCCGGACCGGGGCACGAACCCGTGTCCCCTGCATCGGCAGGCGGACTCCCAACCACTGCGCCACCAGGGAAGCCCTATTTTTCAGCATCTTTTGACCCTGTATTTCTGCTCAGTCTTTTGGTTATTTAATCTAAAACGCATAATTCTCTTTTCCACACTTTTAGCATTCCTGGGGTTTCCACCTCGCTCTCCTCCTTTCACTGAATGTTAGACTTGTCATTGTTATTAAGGATTTGACAATACAGAAGGAGGAAATTTTATGTAGTGTCACTGGCTAGTCAACGTTTTACTATTGGAGTTGGAGCGTCCTTAGGAAAATATGTGTGCCACAAAAGACTGCTGGTGGTGTAATTGTAGAGGTATTAGGTTAATATATAATGCATAAGTCTGTGTCATGGATCGTTTTTATTCGTCATAAAATTTTCAAATGACTCGAGGAGGTGTGGCCCTCGCAGCTGTTCCCCCGCGCTAATGGCCTCGGGCTCCGACTCAGAGAGGAATTCTGTGCCAAAGCGCCTGGCAGCCACCACAGTTCTTGGGATCCTCCCAGGGAGATCACTCGTTGTCAGCAGGGGTGATGATGGCAAACCAATAAAAGGCTGCATGGGCAGGACCTGGTGAGCATAGAAGTCTGGGTCCCTGGGGAGTGAAGAGGCTGTTTTGACCCCAAAATGCTTACCGTTGATTTACTTACTTCAATCAGTTTCTATTTACAAAGTCTAATTTTTGCCCCCTGGAGCAGATCAGAGAGGCCCGTGAACACGAGTCCGAGGACACACCTGCATCTGGAGAGCGGATCCCCCAGCCTGACGCCCGCGTGCCCCTCACCTGGCTGTGCACAGTGTCTGTCTGAGGTCGGACCATGCAGCCCTCGAGATGCTCTGATGCTGCTGCCTCTAGGGCTGAGCTGCTCAAACTTGACCCCGTAGGAATCGCCCAAGGGTGCCGGTGACTCCTGGGCCCAGGGTGGGAGCTGCGGGGACAAAACAAACGAGAGTGGAGATTGATTTTATTCAGGCTGCTAAGGGAAGGGGACGCCCAAGATCAGAGCTTCTCTGCGGAGGGGGCCTGCCTTGGGCTTTACAGGCAGGGCCATTGAGAGACGGCTCAGTTCGCTGAACGGAAATGTTTGTCTCTGTGTCCAGCTGGTTTCACAGGGACAATTCTAATCTCAGCTCACCCTTCACAAGACAAACAACGGGACATTGGAGGGCCTGTGTGTAAAAGGGCATCTTCTAGAAAAAAAAAAGGGGCATCTTCTGCGAGTCCTACGGGGGTCGTGAGGAAGCGCGGACTTATCTAAGTCGTGTGGGGCAGGGGGTTTCCTCAGCACCAACGATCCGCACTTTAACAAATGCTCAGTGACTGAGAGGCAGGTGGGACTGGACCAGACGTTGAGAAACTCCTCTCTGGAGCATCTGAGAGAGGCTGGAGGGCCCGTGTTGCCCTGGTAACACCTTCGCCATCTCCTGGTCCTGTGACAACCTGAGACACCGGGGTGCAGGTATCCCGGCCTCTCCAGCGTTTGCTGCTGTCGGCCCATGAGGCGGGTCTCCCACGTCTGACACTGGGGAGACCCCAGGCCCACGATGGAGGAGGGGCCTCCCCGTCCCCGCCGCACAGAGGGTCTGCCAGCCTAGGGTACCTGCCCTCTGCCCTCTGTCCTCAGTGACCTTTGCGGGCCTGCCCCCTGTCACCCCAGCCTGGTCGGACCAGAACCACCCGGGCTTCCCCACCATGAGCCTCAGTGCTGGGCGGACGGCGGCTGCTCCCGCGGGGTGTAGGCTGCTTTCTGGGCCCCCTCCGTGTTCCCGGCGGGACACAGTCCCAGTCATCTGAGGACACTTCCTGCGGGCACTGGCTGCGAGCTGGGGCCGAGGGATGAGGCACCGCTGGTTCCTCACATGGGGTTGGTTATCGAGAGCTGAGAGCCCCCAGAGGGAGGGCAGGGGAGGGGCGGTCCCAGAACCGGGAGGCAGGCGGATGCCTGGGGCTGTGACAGCGGGCGAGGACCCTGCACCCACGGTGACCCAGGCATGACCCCTCGCTTTCTGCCGACCCTCTGCCTTCTGAAGGTGCCCACATCGGCCCACCCGGGAGCCAGAGGAGGATCCTGGGGGCAGCCAGTGCGATGGCCCCTCAGGGCACAGAGCAGGAGGGGGCAGGGGGAGGGTTGGGGGCGGGTGCGGAATCCCCGCCTTCCCTGCGGGAACCGGGCCGGCTTCCTCCTTCTCCCCTGAAAAGGGCACCTCTTCCAGGGCACGGCGACAGCCCATGGGGACACTGGGGGTATTTTCATTTATCGGAGTCTATATTTTTGTTTGCTTCCATATTTGAGCTTTCAACGTCGTGTGTTATTCGATAACAAAATCTACTACAACTGGTCCATTCCCAAACGTACACGAAGCGGCGACGGGGGGAGACGTTAGGGCAGCTGGCCCATCCCCGCGCTCGCGGTGAGGCTGGGGGTACTGCCTCCTCTTAGGGCGTGGCCCCCAGGCCCCCGGGGTGCCATGTTGAGACCTGGGGGTGGTCGCAGGACAGATCCGGACCGGGCGCCTGGGCCCAAGGCGAGTGCGCTGGGGTGAGCGGTACGACTCTGACACCAACTCCGGGCTCAGCGCAGACCCTGCAGGTTGAGGACACGGCCCCCACAAGACCGTCCTCACTCCGGACACCAGCTGCACTTTGGGGGTTCCAGGCCCCTCGTGCTTCTGACCAACTGGCTACAAATTTGGGGGTTCCAGGCACCCCCTCCAGTTCCATGGTTCGCCAGAATGGCTCACGGAACTCAGGAAAGCAGGTCCCGATGACTACAGGTGAGGTCCGGGAGGGCCCTTGGGCGAGCCCTCCGCCCATCAGCACAGCCACGTGATCCAGACGCCCATCTGAGTTTCCAGCGCCTGGAGTTATTAGGGGTTTGTTACACACGCATGATTGAACTCTGATCTTGTGATTGAATCCAGTTTCCAGCACACCCCCCCCCCCCCCCGCTCTCCCTGGAGGTCAGAGGTCAGCCTGATGTCACTCGACACCAGGTCCCCACCCTCTAAACCCAGGTCTTTCTGGCACGATGGGCCCCCCCCCCCCGGCCCACACCTGAAGCTCTCAAGGGGCCACGGTTAGTCACCTCATTAGCATAAACTCAGGTGTGGTCTGAGGGGTTGAGCCGGAACCGGAGACAAAGACGGCTCAATTCTTGTCGTACGACAGCTGCCCAGGGGGTGCCTCGAGGCGCCGAGGAAACTCCCGAACTGGCCTTCTAGCCTCTGGGAGCTGCCCCGGAAGCCCCACCCTTGTGGGGAGGCCGGAGGGGGTGACGCGTCTGGCAAAGTTTCCTCGACGCTGCGGCATCCAAAGCTCAGCAGAAAACCCCAGACACTCAGGATGTCTTGGCGGGAGATGGTGTTTGCTGTCATCCTCCTCGCAGGAACGTTGGAGCTGCCAGTGCAACAACAAAAATAAGTATTTTTAGGGTTGCAGTTAAACAAAAGGTCACACATTTATTCTTTATGACTCCATATGTTTGGATTTTAAATAACATTCTTCTGAGTAAATGTAATTTGGGGCGTTTAGCTTCCTAGTTATTCTTCAGAGGGACTCTGATTTTTACTTTCTGGAAGTAAGCTCTTAATTTATTTAAATAGTTGTGGGCTGAGATAAATCTCTCCATGTGATGGATCTGGTTGAAGACCTCTGTCCCAGCTGACACTGTGTCGTGGGTGACATGCTCTCTACATGCCCGAGTCAATCTGTGTGTGGGATGGCTGAGTCAGTTTGCAGGAGCACAGTTAGGACAGGGGGAAGTTGAGGACGGGGGCAAGTTGGCTTCTGGTGCCTACCTTCCCCCACAGACTCAGTGTATCATTCTGGGCGATACTTTTCAGTGCTTCTATTTTCCCATAAAGTGGAATTATTAACACTTGCATCCTACTGCAGTGAAATAGCATGATCTCTGGGATTTGCTTTAAACTCTGTAAGGGGAAAAAAGGATGGGAAATAGATGAAACAAGATTGGCAAAATATCGACAGATGAATGAAGAAAGAAGATGTGGTGTATATATACAATGGAATACTACTCAGCCATAAAAAAGAATGAAATAATGCCATTTGCAGCAACATGGTTGAACCTAGAGATTATCATACTAAGTGAAGTAAGTCAGAAAAAGAAGGACAAATACCACATGCTATTGCTTATACGTAGAATCTAAAAAAATGATACAAGTGAACGTATTTACAAAACAGAAATAGACTCACAGACATAGAAAACAAGCTTACGGTTACCAAAGGGGAAAGGGTGGGGAAGGGATAAATTAGGAGGTTGGGATTAACATATACACACTATATACATAAAACAGATAAACAACAAGGACCTGCTGCACAGCACAGGGAACTATATTCAATAACCTGTGATAAACCATAATGGAAAAGAATCTGAAAGAGAATATATATATATATATATACGTATAACTGACTCACTTTGCTGTAGACCAGAAACTAACACAACATTGTAAATCAACTATACTTCAGGGAATTCCCTGGTGGTCGGTCCAGTGGTTAACACTCCACGCTTCCACTACAGGGGGCATGGGTTCGATCCCTGGTCGGGGAACTAAGATCCTGCAAGCTGCATGGAGCGGCCAGAGAAAAAGAAAAGAAAAAAACCTGCAATAAAGGGTTGTCTGTTTGGGGGGAAAAAAAGAAAGTCGTAAAAAAAGATTGGCAAAATGTTGGTAATCTTACAGCTGAATGATGAGTCCACACAGGTTCATGATACTCTTCCCTCTACTTCTGTGCATGCAAAAAATTTTGTGAATTTTTGTGAAAATTTCCAAAATGAAAAGGTTAAAAAGATAACAGTAATACCTGCCCCTGTGTACCGCACATGAGCTGTCCTTAGAGCACCTTGCTTCCCTTGGAGAAGGATGCCTCGTAAATACAGGACCGAGTCACTACTCCGTGGCCCTCAGATTACTGCATCACATCTTGAGGTATTCTTGACAAGGAGACAGAAAATAGATTAGACCCCACGGGAAGCATGGCCATGAAAGAGGAAGATAAACTTTCAAAGCATCGGATGCTACGAGGAAAGAGCTCATCTTCAACTGACAAACTGGAGGGCCATCTGGGCAAATCGTTGACGTGGGAAGTACATTTGCAATACATCAAAAATATGTTTCCTGGTCGCTGACAGTTTATTTCTGGAGTTCCATAAATGTAACATTTCCGAACTTGTAAATAATAAATGTTTATTTATAAATCACTGGTTCCCAGAGGCAGATGAGCACACAGAATAAAAACAAGCTGCAGCAGCTGGTTAATTCCCACCAGCCTGACTCACGGTGGGGATTCAAGAGCCCGCGGGAGAGGCCAATACATCCAGGAAACTGTGCTCATCTCAACACCAAGGCTACCAAGCGTGGTCGGCGACACACAGCATCAGCGTGCGTGCAGCAGAGGAACATGTGTCCTTGCAGATCAACAAACCTGCCCCTGCTTGGAAAGATGCGGACAGGGGCACGAACCCGTGTCCGCTGCATCGGCCGGCGGACTCTCAACCACTGAGCCACCAGGGAAGCCCCCTAATTTTTAAAAACGGCTAACGTGCCTTTGGGAATGCAGGATGGCTGAGGATTGGAACAAGGCATGAGTGAAAGCTTATCTTAGTTCGCAAACCTTTTGGCCATGAGATAATACGATGGTGTAGATAAGCCTATAGTGGAATCAGAATAAGTAAGAAATGCTTTATTAAAGCCTTTGAAAACTTTTACGTACAATTGGCAAAAGCTTAGCTAATTTTAAGTGATTCCACCCCACTGCTAAACAAGCCTTCTGAATCCTTACTAGGGAAGCGTTTGTATTCTTCGTTCACTCTGAAGGCAGTAAAAGGGGACGCCCAGTTAGTTAAGCCGTGAAGACCACTGCCCGGGATGAGGGCCCGGCCGGCTTCATGGCCCTTCGGGACTGCTGGGAGCCCTCAACTTGTCCAGTTTTCTTCCCATGAAAGGACCCCGGGTTTCCTTCCGGGTCTCTAATTACATGAGCACTTTCTGTTTTCGGGTAACAAATCTATTCTTTAATCTTTCCACTGATCCTGACTAATATTTGCACGTAAGAAAAGTGCATTTACATCGCACAGGGAGATCAGCTCGGTGCTTTGTGACCACCTAGAGGGGTGGGATAGGGAGGGGGGAGGGAGATGCAAGAGGGAGGAGATATGGGGACATATGTATATGTATAGCTGATTCACTTTGTTATACAGCAGAAACTAACACACCATTGTAAAGCAATTATACTCCAACAAAGATGTTAAAAAAATAAAGTAAAAAAAAAGTAAAAGTGCATTTAGATAATGTCATACATGGTGACACAGCCAAACATGGGGCCACCCAGCCCGACGGGCAGCGGGAGGGCGGCACAGCCCACCACCCAGCCAGGCTTGGTTCTTTCTTTTCTTCTCATTGAAAATATGTTGCAGAAGCAGCAGCTCTGTTCTCTGACGTCTCAAGAGATGGTAAACATTCATTTCAGCAAGATCAGGAAGAGAGCCAAGAATGAGGCGGCAAGAAGAAAGAGAAACGTTTTCTCATTTTCATGCTCCTTTCTGTGCTAATTTCGTGCTTTCTGGGGGGCGGGGGGGCAGGAGGACAGCGTGCCAGCTCCGCCTCCCTCTCCCCTTGGGCCTCCATCATCAGCCTCCCCGATGAGCCACAGAGACGCCAGGCCCTGCGAAGGCCAGTGCAGCCAGCCGGCGGGCAGGGGTGGGAGAGGGGCCCGCAGCTAGGCCACCATCTCTCTGTACCCCCTCATCCTCTCTACCCGCCCCCACTCCTCCTCAGGCAGGAGGGCACCCTTCCCAAGGACACGGATGGCTGTGGGCAGAGAGGAAGCAGGACTTGAAAGCACGTCTTCTGAGGCCGAGCCTCAGCTGTATCATTCCTGTAGGAAGAACCTGGAGCTGAGCCTCCCAGGGTCCTCCCACGGCCACCTTGCCATCCACGGTAGGGAAGGACGAAATGGTGCAGCGAGTAAATGGAGCCTGCCTGTTCTCGTGGTGGCCTCAATGTGCCATTCTCAGGGCCTAACTAGAGACAGAAAGGGTACTTGTCTTACTCAGGGGTCTCCAGAGAATCAGAACCAATAGGATGGAGAGACAGACAGATAGGTAGATACAGACACACACATAGAGAGAGACAGACACAGAGACAGAGAGAGATTGATTTTAAGGAAGTGGCTCATGCCACGTGGGTACTGGCAAGCCTGAAGTCTGCAGGCAGGTTGGCAGGCTAGAAATTCTGGTAAGCAGTCGGCTGGGAGAATTCCTTCCTCCTCAGGGAAGCTCAGTCTTCTCTCTAAAGGCCTTCAGCTGGTCGGATGAGGTCCACCGCATTACGAGGGCGCTTGGCTTTACTCCAAGTCAGCTGATTCAAACGTTAATCACATCTGAAAAATACCTTCACAGCAATATCTAGACGGGTATGTGACCACACAACTGGGCACCCCAGCACAGCCACGCTGACACAGGAAACTAACCATCCCAGGTGCCGAAGCCCAGGAAATCCTGTCCTGACCCAATGCAGCTGAGCCCATGCCCAGTGCCAGCTGCCTACACTGGGTCATCTCACAGCTCTTGCCTCTGTCTTCCTCCGGCCTGAGGGCGTTGTCTCTCTTTTAAAATGAAGCACAATTGGGCTTCCCTGGTGGCGCGGTGGTTAAGAGTCCGCCTGCTAATGCAGGGGACACTGGTTCGAGCCTTAGTCCGGGAAGATCCCACATGCCGCGGAGCAACTAAGCCCGTGCGCCACAACTACTGAGTCTGCGCTCTAGAGCCCGCGAACCACAACTACTGAGCCCGTATGCCGCAACTACTGAGACCGCGCACCTACAGCCCGTGCTCTGCAACAAGAGAAGCCACCACAATGAGAAGCCCGTGCACCGCAACAAAGAGTAGCCCCTGCTCGCCACAACTAGAGAAAGCCCGTGCGTAGCAACGAAGACCTAACGCAGCTAAAAATAAATTTTAAAAAAATAAAAAATAAAGCAAAAGTATTATTCAGCCTTAAAAGGGAAGGAAATTCTGACCCATGCCGCAACACAGATGAACCCTGAGGACACCGTGCCCAGTGACATAAACCAGTCACCAAAAGACGAGGCCACTCAGATGAGGCCCCCGAGAGGCAGAGACAGAAGGCAGAGCTGTGACCCCCAGGGGCTGGGGTGTGTGCGGGGAGCTGCCCTTCCAGGGCCCAGCGCCTCAGCCTTGCAAGACGACAGAGCGCTCTGGATGCGCGGTGATGGCAGGACTACAGCGCGTGTGCGCCAGGCCACTGACCTGGACACCTGCACACAGTCGGAAAGGCAAACCTTGTGTTATGCGTATTCTACCCAAGCGTGTAATACGGTTTCCAAATATTGGGGGTTTCCCACTATCTCTCTGTTACTGATCTGTAGTGTAGTTCCGTTGTGGTGGGAGGACGGGCTTTGTACGACTGGAATCCTTTTAAATTCCCGGACACCTGACCGCACTTGCTGGCTTGCTCCGTCCTGCTGTTGTTGCCATGTTTCCACTGCTCAGAGACCTCCTCAGCAAAGGGTCTCTTACAGGATTACAGAATCGAGTGATACGCAGAACGATTGGAGTGGACACGATATGACGATATTTGTACGGTTCCCGGCGTGTGGAGGGAGAGGCCCTGGAGGGGTGTATGAAACGTGGGCTCCGCTCAGAATAAAGAGAGGGAGCGTCACACCGACCACTGAACACCCGCACGGGACCTCACACCCCGTGGGCTCTCAATTACAGGACAATAGCAGGTGAACGATGGAAAGGAGGAAAAGACGATGCTGAAGAGGTCCTGCGGGGAACTAAATAGTCTTCCGTGCGGCACGCACGTCTAACCAGCTTCTCTCAATGTGTGGCCCATGGGCCCCAAGGGCCCCCAGACCCGTTCAGGGTTCAGCAGTTTAGGGTCAAAGCTACTTTTTTTTTTTTTTTTTTGCAGTACGTGGGCCTCTCACTGTTGTGGCCTCTCCCGTTGCGGAGCACAGGCTCCGGACGCGCAGGCTCAGCGGCCATGGCTCACGGGCCCAGCCGCTCCGCGGCATGTGGGATCTTCCCGGACCGGGGTACGAACCCGTGTCCCCTGCATCGGCAGGCAGACTCTCAACCACTGCGGCACCAGGGAAGCCCATAGCTACTTTTAAAAATTAGGAGTTTGGGATTAACATACACACTACTATATATAAAATAGGTAAACAGCAAGGACCTACTGTATAGCAACTATAAATAACTTATAATGGCAAAGAATCTGAGAAAGAGCAGATATTTGTATAAGTGAATCACTTTGCTGTGCAGCAGAAATTAACACAACACTGTAAGTCAACTATACCTCGGTAAATTTTTAAAAATCTGAAAAAGAATATATATATGTATAACTGAATCACTTTGCTGTACACCTGCAACTAACACAACAGTGTAAATCAACTATACTTCAACTAAAAGATAACTGGTATTAAAAAAAAACTACTTTTCTAATAATACTAAGACGGTCCTTGCCTTTTTGCGGGGACACGATGGTACATATATATATATCACCATCTTTATCCATTCATCTGTTGATGGATACCTAGGTTGTTTTCACATCTTGGCTATCGTAAATTATGCTGCCATGAACATTGAGGTGCATCTATCTTTTGAAATTAGTGTTTTTGTATTCCTTGGATAAATACTCAGATATGGACTAGCTGGATCATATATGGTAGTTCTAGTCTTAATTTTTTGAGCAGTCTCCTTACTGTTTTCCATAGTGGCTACTCCAATTTACATTCCGCACAACTGTGATTTTTAATATTGTCTAGTGAAATGGGTCAACATTTGGAATAACTGCACCATTCAGTGAATTAATATTTTCCAAATGACCAAATGGCCATGTTACAAAATCATGTGTGGGTCATAGATCCATCCAAAGTGCCAGAGAGACCAGTGGGTTTTAGTCT